TATATCTGTTAAGTGAGGAGCAAAACATTCGGAAAGAGAGTATATACAAAATTAGCCCAAAATTGTTGCCTGAAAATAATTGTAAAAATCTTCGTAATAATCCAAAGTGTCTCTTCAGTCTCAACTAGGGTATCTGCTAAAAGATTTCAACCCGTTGCTGAGTTCTTGTCATTTTCCCAAAACCAAAACCGACCGCCTCGCTCTTTTATCTGCCATCTTAAGTTACCGACCATCCAGAAAAGGAGGTCTGAACTCCTGTGACTATATTGGTTCCAGGTTATTATAATATTTCCAACAAAAACCTTCCATTTGGCCAATTTTAGCTCCAATACTTTTAGTTTACATGCCCCATACCGTCAATCTCTGGCAATAAGGCAAGAATAACAAGCCTTTGTATTTGTCAATTTGAGATAGCTGCCGAATTGGAAGCCATCCTTCTATTGCAATAACACCGCGTTATGCCGATGGATAGAGAATGAGACTATAGAACTATAGACTGATTACTGGTCACGCTACCAGTAAATGTCTAATGGTCCCATGTCTAACATCTGATATCAGAAACCTTAATTTCCATCACACGGTTACGGTAGACGAGGATGTTAATAACTTCTAGATTACGTGTTTCAACAAAATCTAACGAAACATTTCAGGGGTCAACGACATCGAGAACTATACTGATGACATTTAGCTTCGTGTTCTAGGAAAGATATATTTTTAAATTCTCGAGAGACTTAGAGAGTATCATGGCTATTTGCAATCACGTCAGTATTGTAATTGTCAGAATTAATCAACCCTAAATTTTAAATCCTCATGCCTCTACCACTGTGCTAACCAAGGTGCCAATTCACTGCTTTTTAAAAAATACTATTCTTATAAAAATAATAAGACAACTTGCAGAAACAATAATGCATTAAGGGATTTTTTTTCAATTGTTGAAGAATTGCCAATAATTTGTCGTGAATGAAAAACAATTGTCGCTTCTTTTTTTTATTAGGAATAGCTTTGCTAAGTTGACATCAAGTTAGCACAACCATTATGTTACCATGAGGAATTCGATCAGGTACTAGGCAGATATTAATAACAACAGTTTTATCATGTTTCAAGAATTTTACTGGGGTGGTTGAACTAACTTTATGTCAAGTTAATAGAGCCGCTCATTAAAAGAATTGAAGGGGTGTAAGAACCGAGAAAAAAACTAACAGAAATATAGGATGCTAAAGGTAACTGAGAGAAATTAATAATTTTCTTTCTTAAGATATGTTTTTCGAAGGGGAAATATAAGACACTTCCATTCTGATGGAATATTCTTATTATGGCATGTATTTCTTTAAAGATGAAGCATAGAAAGATGCAATAATTTCTAGAAAAATCGTTTTGTATAATTTTTTGATTATTAAAAAATGAATATCGAAAAAGATGCGACCTCGGATACGACAAATAGTCAATACGTTGCTTAAGTATTATAAAAATAAGTAAAAAATCTCATAAAAAATAATAAATTAATAGGCATATAGAATACCACTGCCAATAAGGAGAAATTCATAAATCTTCTTTCGTAAGAGAGACGACATATCTATTCTGGCCTTTCGAAAATTGATCAATTGATGGCAGAAAAATGATTTCATTGGACACTTCAATTTTAAATCGTGCGGGTAAACATTGCCTGTTCAAGTCTCCCCGGGTAGTCAAAACTTTACAATTGAAAATGAACTACCTTAATTCAGTTGCTGGTATTCTGTGAAAATTTGCTGATGCTAAAACATGTGATAACGTTCTGCAATGTAAAATTCGCCTTTCATCACTTCATATATAATATGTAAAACAACATAATACTGGCACGCCACTGGTCATCGTAGTCATTCGTGCGATTCCGGAGATTTAGTTAGTATGCTGTCATCACAACGGTAAAACATCGATAAACGAATTAATTATTTAGCATGCAGCATTGCTACTCAGTGTAAAGTAGTATTAGATGACACGATGACAGAGTATAACAATAGGTAATACAATAATTTCCAGACAAATAGGTACGTTTTGTATTTTTCTTAATATCAAGAGATATAAAAAAATACCTATTGACAGTATTTTACTGAGGTATTTGCGTTAACTTTATATGAAGCCTGAAAAGCAACCTACTTAAAAAAAGTGAAGGACTACAATAACTTTTTATCGAACTTTCTATTCAGGAAAACATCCTAATTGGTTAATAAGTTGCTTATTGCAAAAAATAGAAATTATTCCTAAGGAAAAGAAATTCAGTGATTTTCATTTCAGAACAAAATAAGTTCAATATAAGAGTAGAAGTATACAATATAAAGTCTGTATATGACGATTGATTGAATAAGTTATAAGCAGTTTTGCAACACAGTATGTTTCATGGTTCAAATAACCCCTGTCCAATAAAGGTCTGGATATATTTATTTTACACTACTTTCATTACACCAACAAAATAAAGATTATTGAGCGAAACCCCCCATAAATTGCATGCAAAGGGAGAAGTCCTTTAAAATGACCGGGTTTTAATGACATCCAATAGCCGCCGGATGTCCCTAAAAGTGAGTAGAATAAAAAAATTATGAGGTTGCTAACTCTGTGTACATTTTGGTGTCCTGATATAATTTATTACTGGACAAACATTATCGAAGTTTGCCCAAAAAAATATATTTTTCTCTCCTTTCTCTTTCTTATCATGAAAATTTTTGATAGTAACATCAATATGGCGACCTAAAAAAATATCAATAATTGAGATCGCTGATTACGATTTTGAATAGTCATGCAGATATTTTTTGTCTGTGAAGAACAATCCTTCGCACTCGATTATCGCCATCCTATGCAAAACATTTTAGAACGTGAAAGAAAAGGTAGGTATTCACACATCACACACCAAAAAGCACGTGTTTGAAATTGGCGACTCTGCGAGTCGTTGGGGTCGCACTGTTGCCAAGTGTCAATTATTGTCTGCATTCTGAATACTTTCAACACTGTATAGTTACAGTGATTTCTGTACGGTCCTTTCAAACTTGGAGAGTCTTAGAAAGTTAAAGAAGTGGCTACGCGGCACGAAAATTTTTGTTGGTTGGATACCCCATCAGCTTGGCAACACTGGGCCAGATTGTTCCAGGAGTTTATTTTGTCTTGGTACCAGCATATAACAGAACTTGGAATAAACGCTCATCAAAATACTTAACATACGTTTTAATGAATTTGTATATTTAATAATAATAATATCGTCTTTATTATCTTCTAATACATTTAAAGCAGATTAATCAGGTACAGTTCATTTATTATATGAAGATAGGCAAAGTTCAATTTACATAAGGACAAGTCATAATTCAATTGCTCTTCCATATGAAATCAATGAAAAAAGTACACCAAGCTAACTTTGAATCTGTTTTTCAATATGGTATTATGTTTTGGGCAATAGTGACAGAAAATATATTAAACAGATAAAAAGAAGATTATTTAGATAGGTAACTATGAATTTGAAAAACAATACTTAAATCTTGTAAAGATGGATTTTAGGAAAATGTAAGTCTATGACATAGAGCGGTTTTAGAGGGGGTTTTACCTATGATCGAGCGAAATTTTGAATTCTCCGATTTGTTTCAAAATTGGTTCTTTGAACGTGAGCGTTGTAGTTTGCGAATATGTACCTATTATGGATAAAAAGAAAATGAATATTCTGTGAGTTTTACTTTATACTGCCGAATGTTGACCCTCATTTTCCCCTTTCAACAACCAAGGTAACCACATGGTAGGTTTATGTATCTACAAGTTTCAACGTTGAAGGGGTGAAGTAAACCAAATTAAAATCTTTTAATTTCCGAAAAATCTATGTTAATAGAACATTTCAAACTTCTTCATTATTTAAATATTGACTTGACTTCATTACTTGTCTTGAATATTCATGGTATGATCAACCACAGTCCGTTAAAGTTAGAGTTGAAATAACTCTTATTAGAAATACTCGTTAATTTTAATAGGAATTCTGGGCACATTTTAGTTTCGTTTTCGTTCAATATATTTTTATTTTTGTTTGAAGGTGATTGACAATGTTTCGTGATGAATTTCACTAGTTCGGACTTCCATTGTCTACTATATAAAATGATTTGAAATCCCTGAAACACATTTCAGGTTTATTGTTGCTTAATATAATTGTTATTTTCAACTATTCTTTTTTAATTATTTTTTTTACTTGTTTCAGGGATTTCAAATCATTTTATATAGTAGACAATGGAAGTCCGAACTAGTGAAATATATTTTTATTTACTGGCAGAAGCAAATCAATATCGAAATAATTTCCATGTTTGTCAGTTTGTTATTTGGGTTAATGTTAAGTTTCTTTATAACATTATTGAATAGATTTTACTATTTCATTTAAATCGAATATTTTTGATCATAGACTGCAATGAAAAAAACTACAATAAATAAACTTCATTTTGGAAAAATATATAATATCAGAATAAGTAGGTGTGTAATGTTAAGTGATTTCTGGAATCTCACTTTGTGAGATTTTTACTTCACTCTCAATGTAACCTATAATCAAGTTATTTGAGATTTTTGTTGTGGATAGTACTGCTGGAATACCTACTCGAATGTTATTGACATTTTTAGTTCCTAAAGAACTTTGTTAATTGAAGTTTTTTAAGTAATTTGTTATACGTAGGTGTACTTGGTTAGATCATCCTTAATACACTTATTATTTATTTAGACATTCATGTTGAACTACCCCAAAAATTACATATCAACTCAAAAATGTACGAATCCGATTTCATTTTAGCCTCTCCGAAAAGTTACAATATTTTGCACTAATTATCTCTTTTAGACCCTTTAGATTTTGTTTTCAACAAGCTTTTTACAGTGTTGTTGTATGGTTTTTTTTCTATATATGTACACTTTTCAAGAAGATCGAAGTATCGACTTAGCAAAATATAATTCTTTACTCAGAACATATTAAAGAAAATTCTGGTGTAATTCTAGAGAAAGATAATAAAACCTACCGTGTGTACATCTCCGTACTTGCCAACATTGGCTCTATCTAAAGGCACGTGATTTGAAGGATGGTTATTACCCATTTTCACAAAAGACTCGAACTAAACCCCAAACGTCATGCGTTCTGAAGTAACACCCTTATCCAAAGAAACAGCAGATGTGATCCGTAGAACAGATGCTTAGAATAGTCAGTATGCCAACAAAACCTTCGCACTTTAGAGACCCTATTATCGCTGAACAATTCACTGAGCCACTGTAAAAAATTTAAGAATGCAGTCTGCGGTTGCACGTTGTACCTAAGCTCACGAAGTTCTGATCAAGATTAATACTCGGATGATACAGACATTTCAGATTGTTTAGTGAGGATCTTGCTTATCAAACAGTTTTCTATAGAACTGGATGGCCTTGAGATGTAGAGGTTGAAACGCCACTTCAATCGTCACAAAAACAACACACCAACACTTTTATTTGATAGTTCAACAAAGAGTATTTCATGAAAGGTAAGAAATCTACAACTCAGTAGATTCAGGCCATGGATATAGATACTAAGATCACTTTTGTTTGAGGGAGTTCAATCGTAGAATAGACAAGATTGAAAACATAAAATTTGAGAGTGCCAATCAAAATCCAGAAATCACTCAGAAACAGAAAAAAAACTCCGCGACTTTTTGAAACGAAAACCGACCCGAAAATATGAAAAACGGTTAGACCGGACGCCGACTTACAGGACGGGCCTGTCGCAATGTGCACAACTCAAACCGGACAAAACAACGGATGACGGTTGAAGGTATGCCGTATCCCCACTCACCGCTATATTATCAGTCCTGAAAATGTTGACACAGGTAAACGCACCTTAACAGTGTTGCCGGAATAATTAAAAAGAAGTAGGCTACCGTTATTCTGTAGTTTGAATAGTATTTCTCTAAAGACTCACATTATTGGATTCAAAATAAAACCAGTCTAATTCAAATTTAATGAATGTTATCAGATCTTTTCTTTTTTAAATAACATTTCATTTAGGAAATCTTTTAAATTTGAACAACTGTATATATTGCTTTGATATCATATCTCCGAATTATATATTTTCTTATAACTCAATAATAGAAACAACAGCGAAAGAGGGTAGGTTTAATAAATAATAATGAAAAAGGTTTATTCAAAGTAAACAACATATAAGTACATAAAAAATTGTTTGAAAATACAATCATTCATTAAAATTAAAATGAGAGGTGAATAAACACGGAAAAAACACAGAATAAAATAAGTTCAATATAAGAGTACAATTATCCAATATAAAGTCTGTGTAGAACGATTGATTGAACAAGTTATAAGCAGTTTTGCAACACAGTATGTTTCATGGTTGAAATAACCCCTGTCCAATAAAGGTCTGGATATATTTATTTTACACTACTTTCATTACACCAACAAAATAAAGAGTATTGAGCACTCGATAATTGCTCCAAATGAAGGGTGAGGTCGTATTTCTGACTCCTAGAATACAATGAAAATGTCATCCGGCCTACTCGTATTCAAAGAGAAATATCGATTATTGCTTTTGAAGTCATTATTGTTAAGTCCTGAATCAATGAGCTGAAAATCTACTAGACTAGCAAGGCCCCCTGGGTTTGGATTAAAGCTCACAAACTTGAAACTGGTAAAACTTAATCGCTAGCCAAGCTAGAATGGTCAAGTATATATTTCAAAATACTACTGAAATGAAACACTGAATTGATTATTTATCACCTTTGCCTAATAATTCTAATAGAGATAGTTTTGAATATGGTTTTTCCGTCAATCTCTTTACGAACGTCAACCCTTAAAATTGAAAACAAAAGATTATTGAGGTCTTATCTTTCAAAGTGCGAACAGTACAGTTTGGCAGAAAATTTTTTTTTTGGTTCACAAATTGATTAGCACTGAACGCGTTAGATGAGAATCTCATCCTAAGAGCGGTTGAAGGTACCCGGCAACTCGAGCGAATCACGTGGTAAGAGAGCCTATTGTTTGTATTATTCTACTGTGTTAGGAATCACACGTTAAAAGGTAAAACCTTGTTATCCTTGCTCGCACAAGTTTATCAACTTCTGAGAGTTGTCGTTCGTATGGGGGCGACAGCTGATTAACGGAAAAACATATTTTAAACATTTTAAACACTTGGTATAATGTCTAGAAATTTCTTAGAATATTAGACTATTAGACTGTGTTTCAAAAATTTCTAAACATTTTATATGAAATAATTGGTCAGTTTGCTACAGTTATCGACCTAAATATTTTTGAATTGCTAGACGAACTTCTCGGGAGGAGCCTAAAAACCAAATAGGCAGGGACTCTTGTCAGATACGATAATGATAACATCTATTTTATTCTTTATTCACATTCACAATTTGCCAATTCCTGCAAATGAAGATATTCAACTTCGCCTTATACTTTCAGACGCAGCGCTTGAAATTGCTTCCATGGCATGTTAAAGTACTACCTAATCATGAAAAATATGGCAACAGTGCTTCTCAGATAACTTTGTACCTAGATTTATACAGGCTGATTCGCAAAATCATGAATTCCAACTTTCCTTTTTTATGTACGACTTTCATGGTGGATTGGTTGAAAACAAGTTGATTGAAAATCGACGCTATCGACAGATAGCGGAGTCAATTTATGTCTTGATGAGGTTTTAGTGAAGTTAACTAACTACCAATTCGTCATTAGGTGATTTTCATGGGCGGTGACCGTGTGATTCAAGCTCTACTGCTTCGGAGGCGATAACCAAAATCCAGAAGTATCAAGGCAGAAACTTATTGGACCGGATGCATTTTTTTTTCAGTTGCATACCAATGCACTCTCTAGACAGAATCCACCGTATTCATGTTAACGTCAATTTTAAATAACGGGGTCTGTAAGTTCACTAAGAGCATATATAGGTGAACATTTTTAACGTATATGAAAATAACAGAAAAATACCTGAGTATCTGAATTTTGTTTACCTGTGAGAATGTGGATATGCTAATTTGAAAATCAGTGAGTGAACTAGATCGATTTGATCATTTAACAGGTTGCACCCGCAATGTTTATGCTTATGAATTTCCAAGTACCTATTCCAAATAATTGAGTTTCCAACCCTTGCTTGCATAGTGCAAAATTTCCATATCGTTTAGATTCGGGAACTTGTGGTTGGTTGTACTCCAAGGAATGGTTCGAATCATTTTTACCTAGTCTGAAGGACTTTTTATGTTCAGCATACCGTTTTGAAAAATTTCGACTACATTGTCCCACATAAACACTATTACACTCCGGACACTTAAGCTTATAAACTCCAGATTTCCTCATCTTGTCCACTTTATCTTTGGCACTAAAAAAGAAATTAGATAAACTGGCATGTGGTCTGAATGCCACTTCCACATTGTTTTTTCTGAAAAAAAAAACGCTATTGTCTTTGTTCTTTTATCAAAATATGTAACGAGTTACAAATTTCTTGATTTCTGATTGTTCGACCTGAGTGTATATTAATCTGTACGTGAATTTGAGACTTTGTTTTCTGACTTCTGGATTGTGTCTCCGTTGAAACTATCATTATGCACTATCTGTATAATTATTTCAATTTCCCTATCTAGATTGTTAGCAGATTACGGTAACGAGAATGCTCTGTACAAAATTGGATTGTAGGTAATTTATAACTGTCAGGATGGAAAAAATCTGAACGATACGGAAATTTTGCACTATGCAAGCAAGGGTTAGAAACTCAATTATTTGGAATCCTTGGAAATTTTTAAACATGTAACCTGCGGATGTACCCAGCTAAATGATCAAATCGACCTAGTTTACTTAGTGGTTCTCAAATTAGTGTATCCACATTGTCACAGGTGAACAAAATTCAGGTACTCAATTAAGTTGAGTACCTTTGTTATTACCTACGGCGGTGTTTACATATAAGGGCTGATATTATCAATTATTTTCAGTTTATTATATTTGTATTATAGGACAAAACTGATGCGGTAACGTTAGTTACAAATAAAAGTGGTAAAAAAACATGATGTCTTCCTACCACGTGGTAACGGCTACATCCATCAAATCATTCCATAGTTTCCAATTTTGACGGGTCAACTTGAACCGCTGGCGTTACCACTTATTTTATATAACAGAGCGATTTCCTCCGCATCCAAAAATCTAGTGTCATACCAATCTCAGAAATTTCAGGAAGTTTTCATTCATTTTATAGCCGTTCTCCAAATCGTGTTGAACGACACTAGATTTTTCTGGCTTTCGAAATCGGATATGTGCGTTCTTTGAAACAAGTTTCAATAACTTGCTTAGTCTGACAAATGTATTTTTTGTCACATTTCCCACAGCTCATTTCATATATCTCAGACTTTTCATTATCCATTTCCATTATCTTGTCTTTACGGTTACTTTTACATTCAACTTTTAAACAAATAAAAGTAGCCTTCAAAACTTCTTGCTCACTTCAACAAATGTTTGGTAACTCTAACTAAAATATGTTGGAAAATGAAAAGTCGGGGATATATGAAACAAGCTCTGAGGACTGTGACAAAAAATACATCGATCAGGCATCATATCAGTACATGACACTAGAATTTTTTTATGCTTCCGAGAGTCTGAAAATAGCGAAGTGTGACATGAGAACTATTAACAGTGACAAAGATTCCATTTCAAACAGCCCATGGTTTATCTTTATATGAATTGCTGTCATAGTTGATCATAATATCAAATTGAACCTGTGAATTTCTGTATTTATGTAATTTCTGTAATTATGTAAAGTTTCATTATTTAGTCACAATTATATTTGAATATTTGATTCCATTGGTCCAATTTGATTAGGACAGTAATGGTGATTAAAATTGCATATATAGGGTGTTTCAAATTCGATCCTCATCATTGGGATCTCGGAAACTATGAGAGATACGAAGATGGTTAAATTGGGGCAAAGTTGCGCATTTACCTGCTGATTAACGAAAAAACAGATTTTAAACAGATTTTTAAACCTGATTAACAATATGCCGTTGAGAAATTTCTCAAATTCTGCGTATACCCGGAGATATCCGGAAAAAACAGAAATTTCGGAAAATGTTTTTTTGGCTTTATTTGTCGAAGGATCCACACCTAAATTGCACTTCCACACTGCCATTTTTTCCCTGCTACATAATGGTGTTTTCAGATTTGCTATCCGACGTTTCGTCTTCCGGCCACCATCATCAACTTTATTTTTTCTTATGGGCGCTACATTGGATTCTTTCTGTTTTGAATAGAACCAGATTTTACCTTTTCAATGTTGTTATCATGAGTTATCATTCTTTTTCGAAAAATTGGAGATATTGAAAAATAATAATTCTTATCATAATAGGTTTTGACTTTTGACTTTCAATATCATTTTGTTATTGCGTAAGTCATTGAATTTTTGGCGAAAAATGGCTTTCACGAATGAAGAAAAAAATGTAATTTGGACAGATGAAAACACATTTACGAATTGTGTGATATTCAACCGAAATAACGAACACATTTGGGGCATAAACAACTCCAGGCAGTTCCGAGAAATTCGACCTCAAGTGCGATATAGTATTAACACGTGGGCAGGAATTTACAGAAATAGAATTTTGGGTCCTCATTTATTTGATGGAATTCTGAATAAAAAAGCCTATCACCAGTTTTCAATGTCGATTTTTGAAGACTATTTGAATGATCTACCTTTGGCTAACTATAACAATATCTGGTTTCAACATGATAGTGCTCCACCGCACACTACCAGACGAATACTTAATTA